CCCTAGCCTTTCAAGGTCAGTGAAGACTCAGGACATAGGAGAACCTATACTGTAACATCATGTAACTCAGTTGTGTCCTAAATTTTTTATCAAGGAGATTATGGAGACACAGAGCAACGTGATTGATGATGTAGAGTGTGCCTAACGAGAGTTACATGAAGAGAAAACATTTTCTCAAACTTTCACCGAGAGCAAATTCGTCAAGCAATGGCCATGACTCAAACACAGGGCTGACACTGACAAAGGATCTGCAAACTGCAGTACAGGGTTACAGGATAAATCCTGAGGATACTTGACTGACCTTATCAGATACAAAAGTCACATTTCTGGTTGTATAGGTCTTGCTTTATCTTGGTCTTAACCATCCATCAGAAAAGTATAAAAATGATGTATATAAAGTAAAGCCATATTAATATGCTGAGCTGTGAAAGGCTCAAGTCAACAATTTCTGTTGATTACCCACTACTGTTGTGGACTGCTGGACTGTTTTGGATTGTTTTGCTGAATTCATATGTCTATAGTATTTAGATGCCAATGGAATACTCATCCCTGACAGGACTAAACAAAAAAAGTGGGTACAAAGGAAGGACCATTTTCTATCTGTATATGTAAAATAGTAAGGACAGATATTCAGCTACTTTATCTTAATTCAATGAGAAGAAAGTTTTGTACTAATAGTGTTTGGACAGGATATCTTGTCTGCATCTTGTACTATGGATAACCCCTAAGAAGATAACATTGTACAATGTATTAATTATTGAAACTATCCCATTAATAAGTTTTTAAACTGTCTCATTGCTATTTGTTTCTCAATTCAAAAAGCAATGTAACTATAAAAACTAAAAAGAGATTGTTGCAAAGCAGGCATTATGTAAGTCAGATAGTTCTGCTTTCTACATTTGGTGGTGTAATATAGATGGTTAGAGATGTAATATAGATGAATTTTTCTCAGCTGTAGCAGGCATACCTGTTCTTTGAAGTTCTACATGCCTGCATCTTGTATCCACTATAGGTTTTATACTATCTGACAAAAAGTCTGTCCTTCTCTTTTAAAATATACCTTTATAAAATTAAAAGAAAGAAAAACTATGTCACAGGACTGTCCTGCTACAATAATGTATATGGTTGCATTTCTAAATTTTTCGGTAAAAATATGTAATTGTTTATTTTTATTCTTTAAATATTTTTCATTTTTTACATTTCTTCTCCATATTCTGTAGGGAACTAAAGTTTAATATATCAATACTTGATGGAAAATACCTGTTCCATGTTATGCCTAACATGTTTGAAATGCAGACAGATAGTGAGGTTGAACCTAACTGAATATGTTGTAGTGTAATAATAAGCTTCTCTTCTGGAGGGTTAACAACCTAAGTTTGCAGAACAAAAATTAGAGAAATACAAGGGCTACAAGACAGCCAACATTTTGACCTTAGTCTTTCAAGGTCATTGAAAACTCAGGAAATAGGAAAACCTATACTGTAACATCATGTAACTCAGTTGTGCCCCAAATTTTCTGATCAAGGAGATTATGGGGCCACAGAGCAACGTGATCAATGTCGTACAGTGTGCCTAAGGAGAGTCACAGGGGGAGAAAACATTCTCTCAGGCTTTCGCAGAGAGCAAATTGGTCAAGCAATGATCATAACTCATCCATAGGGCTAACACTGACAAAGAATCTGCAAATTGTAGTGCAGGATTATAGGATAAATCCTGAGGATACTTGACTGACATTATCAGATACAAAAGTTACGTTTCTTCTTATGCACTTCTTCTGCTTTATCTTGGTCTTAACCATCCAGCAGAAAAGTATAAAAACAAGGTACACAAAGTAAAGCCATATTAATATGCTGAGCTGTGAAAGGCTCAAGTCAACAACTTCTGTGGATTACCCACTACTGTTTTGGACTGCTGGACTGTTTTGGATTGTTTTACTGAATTTATGAACCTATAGCATTTAGATGCCAATGAAATATCCAACTGTGACAGAACTAAACAAAAATAAAGGGGATACAAAGGAAGGACCATTTTGTATCTATATATGCTGAACAGTTAGGATAGATATACAGCTACTTTCGCTTAACTCAATGAAAAGAAAGTTTTGTACTAATTGTGTTTGGACAGGATATCCTGTCTGAATCTTGTACTATGGATAGACACTAAGAAGATAACAATTTACAATGTAAAATAATTTGAAAAATAGAAATAACAAAATGCTGCAAATAAATCAATAAACACAACTGGAAATTCCATGTTGTCAATAATCCCCTTCTGGGTATCTTCTGGAAAATCATACTACAATGATTAATGCATAACCTTACTTATAGAAGCACAATTTAAAAGATGTAAATCTTGCAAGCAGCCTGTATGTCTATCAACAGTTGAATGAATTAAAAAAATATGTTATTTATACATAATGAAGAACTTCTGTGCTATGTAGCAGGATAAGCCTCATCTGTGGGAAGTGGCTGCAGCTAGAGACCACCCTTGTCAATGAAACAATGCAACAGTTATCTTTTTGTGTTTGTTTGTTTGTTTCAGTGTCAGGGATTGAACTCAGGAACTTGCACTTGCCCAGCAGGCACTTAAGCCACTGAGCTATCTCTCAAGCCCAGAAACAGTTATCTTGAAGTTTACTTCCTGATTCCTCTTTGCATTTGAGATTAGAGGTACAAGTATCAGCGTTTTATGTCACTACAATTTACATGGATGTGTAAAACTCGTGATGTACACTGAAAAGCTCCACAAGATTTATTTGAGGACTGTGTCTTAATGTAGTGAAATGGGGGTGAGGAACACAAGTTTATATATAGCGCCCCAAATTTTTAGACTGTGTAATCTATCACACTTTCTGTATCCCCTATGCAGTGATATATGGATCCTGGTTTGAGCATGTTCGTGGCTGGTTGTCTATGAGAGAGAGAGAAAATGTCCTTGTTGTGAGTTATGAAGAACTGAAGAAGGTAACTTGTGTTCTGTAGTCACCCCACATCCTCTCCTCACTGCCTGTACTCTCTCATACACTCTATTTATTGTTTTCTACATTCTCTTTCAAAGTTCAGTGTCCTGAAAATCCACTAAAAGTGAGACTAACACTCTAATTTTCATTCCTCAATTTCTGACCTTCTGCTGATATAGCCCATGATTTTCTTAGGTTTTCATCTTTGTTTCTATTCAAAATGTGTAAGAGAAATTTTTATCATTCTGAAGCAGAGTATGTTTCTTTGTGGAGGGAGAGTTTCTGTGGTCAGGGTTTCTTGTACTGCTGAGAACCTGGTGAGTTCTAGAGATGCATCCAAGTGTCTATAGTATCCACCACAAGAACAGAGGTGAAAGTGTAAAACTAGCTTGTGTGAACATTCTGAGGAGTGAAATACAGACAACAGAGAAGCACATAAGACAGTTCTGTAAGTTTGAAGGTGGACACAGACTTCTGTTGGACATGAGGAATAACTTGTAACATTCTGTAGCATAGATAACTGCTGTTGACAGCAAATTAATTGAATATTTCCGAAGAACTAATAGAAAATTGGCAGTTTCTAATATAAAAATTTGGGGTTTTAGTTAGTTGAGAGATCTGCCAAGGGCAGGCAGATAGTTCAGTGGATTAAAGCACCTGCTTAGGCAGAGTACAGTGGCAGTGATCCTTGGGGATGCAGCCCAATACAGCCTCACCCCCGGGGCGCGCTGAGATAGCCATTGAGATTGGTTGTATTGGTGCGTGCCTGTAATCTTAGAGCTTGGGAGGCTGAAAACAGGAGAATCAATATGAGTCCAATCTACATAGTGAAACCCTATACAACCTGTAGACACTGTGCCAAATACATTTTAAAAAAAAGAAAGATCTGCCAATTACCCAAGCTAATTATTTCACATTGCATATGTATTAACATGTCATACTGTACTTCATGAATGTCTAATATATCTATATTTTGAAAGGCGGAAAATTAAAACTGTCAACTTTAAAATAATTCAAATGAGGCCCTCAGCAAGCAGTGTATCACTATTGCCAACACCATGGGCAGTATGATACTGTATCCCACGTTGCTCAACAAAATCAGGGGTTTGTGAATGAGGTGCTATGCTTTGGCATACAAACAAGTGGAATGTAAGTAGACTCTAGGTGCCAGCATTTTATTCCAAAGGAAATAGGGTGAATCCCAGAGGAATAACAGGTATGAATCACTTCACTGCCAAGGTCCCTGAGTGGAATAAGGAAACAAAGTGCTATCCAGTCAGGGTAGACTGCTGCCAGTTGGAAGCAAGATAGTGGGAAATCTGCTGGAAGATATAAGGTGACACCACAAAGGTCCTGCTCATTTGGTGGCCAAAAACTATATTAGCCCCAAATACAAAAGACCAGAAAAACTCTTCTGGTCTGCATCCAGCATGACAGTCCTGACACAGCAGCACAAACAGGCTAATCCAGTTGCCCTACTGTGTGACAAGGGCATTCGCCCTGTCAAACAACATCAGGTAAGAGGTGTGAATGCCGAGCATTTGAGGATGTTGAGCAAGGTCATGAAGTGACTTTAAATGGGTCTGGGAGGTACCATGTTGCTACTGAATTTCTCATCATTCATCTCTCTACTTTGTCTGTTACCCCTATAAAACACCACCTAAATATAAAATCAATTACAAGAAGAACACTCACTGCATGAAAGTGCACGGTATATGTTAAGTTTTGTTATATAAGTTATATAACCTTTCTCTTAAGGCTAAAGGTATCAAAATTAATATTTACTAGGCTGCATTTGATGATATTGTTATTCTAATTGTACTACCACAATTAGGTTGTCATGCATGCTATAGTCGTTTTTCTTTTTCTCGTGTCAACATTGTGATTTTCTGGAGTAATAAACATTATGATATGCAGAATCAAATGAAGTGGTGCTGAGTCACATAAACGTTAATGTCTCGTTAATAAAAATTGGGAAGTTAGGTTTCTGGCACAGGCAAAAAGACAAGGATCCAGCTACACCTAGAAAAGAGTCTTGAAGAATAGACAGCCTGGAAAAAAAAAACAGCCTCTTTAAAAAATGGTGTTGGAAAAACTTCCTCTCTACATGCCATAAACAAAAACTTGACCCAGGTCTATCGCCATGCACTAAGCTAATGTCAAAATGGATTAAAGATCTAAACATTAAAACAGAAACACTAAATCTCCTGGAAGAGAAAGTAGGATGAACTCTTGAAGACATAGGGGTAGGCAAAGAGTTCCTGAACAAAAATAAAATCACATGGGAAACACTTGAAAGAATTAACAAGTGGGACCTGCTCTTATTGAGAAGTTTTTGCACATCAAAAGATATTACCAACAAAATGAAAAGACAACCAAAAATTTGGAAAAAGTCTTAACTAATAAGCACTCACACAAAGGTCTGCTCTCTACAATTTACAGAGAACTAAAATACATTAGGGCCCCTAAATTTAAAGTACCAATCCAGAAATGGGCATCCGAGATAAACAGACACTTCTCTGAGGATGAAATCAAAGAAATGAATAAATACATGAAAAAATGCTCCACATCACTAGCTATCCATGAAATGCAAATTAAAACAACACTGAGATATCATCTCACCTGAGAAACAAGGGCCATCATCAAGAAATTAACCAACAACAAATGTTGGAGAGACTGTCGGGGAAAAGGAACGCTTCTCCACTGCTGCTGGGAATGTAGGCTGGTGAAACCATTATTGAAATCAGTGTGGAGACTCCTTAAGAATCTAGGACTGGAAATCCCATTCAAGCCAGCTGTCCCGTACTGGGAATTCTCCTGGAGCTACTGAAAACTTCATAGCATAGTAATATATGTGTACCTATGTTTATAGCACCACAATTTTTGATAGCCAAATCATGGAAACAACCAAGATGCCCATCACATAAGGGAGGGTGTAAAAAGATATGGTATTTTTATACAGTGGAGTATTATTCAGCTATAAAGAATGATAAACTTGAAGCATTTATATTTAAGTGGATGTCACTTGAAGATATATTCATGTGTGAAATAAACCGGACCCACATGTATAAATATCAAATAGTCTCCCTAGTATAAGAAATAATATAGATAGATAGATAGATAGATAGATAGATAGATAGATAGATAGATAGATAGAACACAACTAAAAGGAAAGCAAGAACTTGAGGATTGGACAATGAAAACAGCTTAAGGAGAAAAGTTGTGAAACAGGACAGGGACAAAGCCACACATTTGGATGCACAAGATGGGCAAGGCAATGATCCTGAGAGACATCAGCAGGTTTTTGAAACTAGCAATTAGTTAGTAGGATTCCCAACCTGACTAAATATATCTGCTGATACCTGTGAATCAAGCAACTGCACTGAAGATAGCAATGTGTGAAAGAAGGGGAACACTTGTAATGTCTGTCATTCTGGTCTTCTAAATACATACGTCTTGTCATGACATACCGATTGTTACCATACTGTCTCACAATTAAATTTTTATAATTGGATAATAAATGAAAAAATAAAAGACACAAGAAAATGAAAAAAGTGTCACAGGACTGTCCTGCTACAATGCTGTATATGGTTAGATTTCTAAATTTCTGTGTAAAAATATGTGTTTATTCCTATTTTATAAATTTTTTTCTTCATATTCTGTAAGGACTTAAACTTCAACACATCAATACTTGATGTAAAATACCTGTTCCACATTATGCCTTAGATTTTTGACATTTAGACAGATAGGGTAAACTTAACTGCATATATTGCAGGGTAATAATAGGCTTCTCTTCTGGAGGGTTAACAAGCTAAATTTGCAGAAAAAAATTGGAGAAAATGAGGGTCTGCAAGGTCAGCCAACATTTTGGCCCCAGCCTGTCAAGGTCAGTGAAGACTCAGGACATAGGAGTGCCTGTACTGTAACACCACGTAACTCAGTTGTGCCCCAAGTTTTCTCATCAAGGAGATTATGCAGCCACAGAGGAATGTGATTGATGATGTATAGTGTGCCTAAGGAGAGTCACGTGGAGAGAAAATTTTCTCTTGGGCTTTCACAAGAGAAAATTGGTCAAGCAATGGCCACATGGCTGACGCTGACAAAGAATCTATAAACTGTAGTACAGGGTTACAGGACAAATCCTGAGGGGACTTGACTGATCTTATCAGATATAAAAGTTACATTTCGTGTTATATAGGTCTTGCTTTACCTTGGTCTTAACCATCCAGCAGACAAGTATTAAAACAAGGTATATAAAGTAAAGCCATGTTGATATGCTGAGCTATAAAAGGCTCTAGTCAAAAACTTCTGCAGATAACCCACTACCATTGTGGATTCCTGGACTGTGTTGGACTGTCTTGCTGAATTCAAGCACCTGTAATATTTAGATGCTAATAGAATAACCATCTCTGACAGGACTATACAGAAAAGGGGATAGAAAGGAAGGACCATTTTATACTTGTATATACAGAACAGTTAGGTTAGATATACAGCTAATTTCACTTAATTCAATGAGAAGAAAGATTTGTATTAATAGTGTTTGCACAGGATATCCTGTCTGCTTCTTGTAGTATGGATAACCACTAAGAAGATAAGAATGTACAATGTATTAATTATTGAAAATGTCCTATTAATCAACTTTGAGGAAAAAAAATGATTACAAGAGCACCCAATGCCACTTACCAGCTTCCTTTTTGTCATGCCCTTCCCTGACCACAGAGGGTTTTGGGCTTCCCTGAAACCACAATAAAAAAGCAGCAAGGAGAGACAATGGGCACCTGCATAAGCCTGGTAGGCAATAAAATATACACATACTTTTGCCCTCATGTGTTACCTAAGCCCTGAACCTTCTGCTTTTGGTACTCTGTAAATTCACCAAGAAGTAGTCCTTCTTATTCTTGGGCTGATTCCTAGGGTAGGTACTCATTCATCTGTATGCCTAGCACTTCCAGTCATGGTACAAACTGAATTAACAAATATTAGGCCTAAAAAATGTAAAGTAAG